CCTGTGATACATCACATGATCCGTCGTTTTCCAGACCTTGACAGCTACTGCTGCTACAGCAAGACTAAACTCAAGCCTAGCTCCGGTAGCTTTCGTGATATGTGGCACACTTCCTCATGTCTGGCGCTTGTGCAACTGCATGGTGCATGAGCAAGCGCCGTCACAACAGGCACGAGCAGCTCACCTTCAAAATTCATGCCTCAACCAGATTCTGACTAAAAGCCTGACCAGGTTGGTGCAATGATACAGTGTCCATCTTCTCCTGCAGTCGGCCTGGAGGCTGAGCACCATCACCACCATCGCCTGGCAAAGCGAGTCTGGCTCCCCGCTACACTGAGGATGCGTCAGTCGCCGAAAACAGCAAGCACAGTAAAGCGATCGTGGGCCACATGAATCAAACATACATGCTCGACTATTCGCCGTAGCCACAGAAGTTGTTTCAATCTTGCTTGGCTGCATGTTGGCTGGACCTTACTCGCAAGATTTGAACAATGATCAAAGCATGTGGTCACACCCGTCGAAGCACAAGAGGATGCCCTTTTGTGTCGCTATACACTCAGCCTGTGTAATATGCATGAAATTGTCGCAGGGTGGTCAGGCAGCAAACTCGCCGCCATCGCAAGAGGACGGCTTCTCAGAATGAATAAGGTGCAAGCAGGAAGTCCACCGTTCAACGACATCGAAGATGTGGCCACCCTCGACGAAGTGCACAAACCTCATTCTCTGGCAAAGGCGGCAATTCTGCGGTCTGGATGCCAGCCGAGACAAGATTGTAACACCAACACGGAAGAAAATGGAAGAGGACAGCACCGAACACGCAGCAATGCAGCCATGCTACGTGTTCTTCACCGGGATGTCCCACATCTCACCATACACTCCTTCTTGGCTCATCCTCTGCACAATAAGGCAGACGAAACTCAAAAGCAAGAGGGGAAGCTGAAGGTGTCCCTCGAGCAAGCTGAACGGGCAGGAGCAATGCTGCACGCTACGATGGTCCCTTCTTGTTGACAGCATGTCATTATCCTCTCCGTTTCGGGTAAGTGGCAACAGCTTGCTAGGTGCAGTTCCAGAATTTCTGACGAGTTACTGTAAGAAGTTCTCTGATGTCCAACGAAGGGACGGGAAATGTTCTCTGAGCATGAAGGAGGGCCGAAACGAATGAGCACTGGCAACAACACGTAGCAACACGTCTGCGGAAAGCTAGTTCTGGAAGTTTGCTGAAGGACGGGCTCCTCATCTGAGCGACAACAATGTACAATGCCTCGGCCGGTTCTGCCCGTGTCTGCTTTCAACTTGTCATCTTACGCAGGCACAAGAGACTGCCCTTCTTTGGCGCGAACCGCCTGTGGCAGCCGGGGCGAAGCTACTGCTGACGTACTATCCAAATTCTTGAGAGAATGTTTTGAAAGTTTTGTGGCTGAGGCTTCTGGCTTTTTTTGGCTGGCTGTGCTACACACCTCGGTGGTGTACTTCTCATTTTTAGCAGGACACAGTGCTACTCTTGTGCAGACTTGAAC